TTTCTTCTCACATCTGTCTTCTCCTTGGGATGATGCTGCCAGCAGGGTAACAGAGAGGAATCCACAGATGGATTTCCAGGATTCAGGCTCTGGCTTTCTGGGCTCTATAATTTTCGCCAGTTACCTAAGCTTTCTGTGCCTCAACTTCCTTTCCTGTAAAATGGGTATGATAATAGCTCCTACCTCATACGATTGTTGTTGAGACTCAGAACAGTGCCTCGCACACAGAAAGACCTCAGTCAGTGTTTAATTGCCTGTGTGTAGGTAAGGACACAGGTTTTGTAAAAAGTCACCAAAAACCCTTTTGCTGCCATGCAGCAAGGAAGCCAGACCTGGGGCTCAGCCATGGGTGTTTCTGGCTTCTTTTCTTTGGGCACCCATTTCTGAGACTGGCATCCCCAGAGCTCCCTCCGCCTGTTGCTGCGACTGTTATACAGCTGGACTGTGTGTATGGCCAGTGGCACTGGGCCCCAGGACTGGCTAGGGGAAACATCCATGTAAATGTGTGCAGCAGTTTTTGCAGTCAACAGACGTAGGGGGCAAATCGCAGAAGAAAAGGCTGTTGACAACCAGGTAAGACTGATCTGGGAGCGGTGGCATCCTACCGGTGCCAGCGGTAACTCAGCTACCTCCTGCAGTTTTATTTTCTCACACTGCTGGGCCTGTAGTTTTCCAGAGCTCCACTGCATTTAAATCTATAGTCTATTTTCTCTCCTAGAAAATAGGTCAGACTCGAGGCAGAGTTCACCAGGTGGGGTCCCCAAAGGTTTGGGGGGACTGTCCCCTGGGAGGCTGGCTGTGCAGCCCTTGCCATGCTTCCCAAAGTGTCTCCCAGGATGCGGGGGCACTGAAGGGGAAGGTGGGGGGATCTTGCCTCAGGAGATGATCCAGTTGAAATGGAGGGTAAGGTGAGGGGCTCCCTTGGCTGAGCTAGTGTCTGCAAGTGCAATAACCCTGGGCAGAGGGTCCTTTCTTTTCCCCTGTGGTTAGAAGAACCAACTGCAGCCACGTGTACTGTTTGAAGTTGAACTTGAAAATAACCATGCTGAGTGCGTGCATTTGTGGCTGAAGTTACTGTTGAATTTATGGTGAGTATTTGTGGGTACTGAGTGGAGGTAGAAATGTCCTCATGGACTTCTCCCTTGGTTGTGGTGCTGAAGAGAGTGGGTAAAGGGTGGTGGTGAGCTCCAAAGCTTTCCTTTCTTGTGCCCGCCACCCCCTGCCTGGTTGGAATGCAGCAGTTCCAAGGGAAGGGGTTCACAAGAGTGCTTGTCATAAGATTTGTTTTCCCTTGGGTGTGTATATCACGAGCATCTGGAACCTGCCGAATGTGTGAGTGACAGGGCTAGGAGAATGATAGAGGAAGGTACTGGGTGGTGGGAGCCAGCCCTTGACCCGCCTATGCTAGCAGAAATAACTGAACAGTGTTTGCACTTGCTATTCTCCCACCTGAGCATCTTGGTCAGGTGCACGGCAGGCTCACCTTCCTCGGAGATCAGCTCAAATATTACTGCCTCCCAAAGTGCTTCTTTAACGGTCTTTCTTGCATAGGGATCCTCTGTGGTGACTGATCCCGCTTCTCCTTTCTTCACAGCACTAATCACTATTTGACTCTGTATAGCTATGAGCTCATTGTTAATATCTTCCGTTAATACCCATGAGTACCATCTGCCTCATTCATTGCTTGTATCCTCAATGTTTAAATCAAGGTCTGGCCTATAATTGGCACTCAGTCGATAAGTATTGAATGGTGAATGGAGTGTCTCCAATGATACAGTTCACCGAGATAGATACTGTTCAGATCTTCGTTTACACATGAGAGGAATGAGGCTCAGAGAAGCAGAGGCACTTGCCTGTGGACAGAGAGCAGAGTGGGATTCGGCTGTAGGTGTGCCGTCATTATATATGAAACAATCCCGTTTGCTTCTGTGTTTGCCTCATTCTCTGGTGGGTTGTCCCTGTATGTTAACAAAGATGGAATCTGGCAGCCCCAGAGGGAAGGGAGCACCTCATTTTCTGGGAATTTTCTTAAAATTCCCTGGGAAGATTGGTTTGGCTTGGGTCACACACACGTCTGTTCTTGGGACAATTAAATTATGATAGTAATGTATCATATTAATATATCATCATATTATATTGATTATATCATCGAGACAATTATAGAATATTTCTATGACCTGGCTTGCGTTACATGATTACCCTTGGAGCTAAGGTGGGAGTGGAGCTCACCTTTCCCAGCTACACGCATTAAGGGTAGGAAAGAGGCTCCTTGGAAGACAGCTGGGATTGTCAGAGGAAGAGAACAGAATTCTGGAGACAGTAGGGCAGATGGGTACTGCCAGGTTTCTCGTCTCTACCTCTCGACAGCCCTCCTCCTCTCACTGCCCTGCCGTTGACATTTCATTCTGTCAGTCGGAATTGAGTCTAGAAATTCAGGTCACTCCCTGCTTCTTGGGCCGGGGGCCAGGTGATACTGTGTCTCTATTCCTAAACTTGGAATAATGCTTAGAACTGCCTTCAGTCACTGCCACAGCCAGGCCCTGAGCTCTGACCTTGATCCCTAGTAAAGGGGTTTTCCAAGTCATGTTGTTGCCCCTTTGGGACATGAGCAGATTTGGTGTTTTGGTGCATAGTATTAGAATTGTGCCTACCTATGGCTTGAGGAGTGAAATGAAATTTGTTTTGACCTTTGCTCCCCCAAAACTCCTTAGTCCTTCCACTCTCCACCCCTCCCACTGCACACTGCAGATGGTGGAGCGGAGAGAGAGCTAGAGCACTCATCCACATTCATAAGAGGAAGAGTTGAACCCAAATCCTTGGCTTGGTGTTTCCAGGGAGCCATCTGGTCAATATTTTTGGTGCTTCTGAATGTGGTAATTCAGACCAATAAGAATCAGAGCCACTAACGTTTATGCAATGTTTGCCATGTGCTAAGTGCCTTCTAAGCATTTAATCTCACTTAATTCTCTTAACACCCCCATGAGGGAGGCTCTTTTTATTCCCATTTTGTAGCTGAGGAAAAAGACTTAGAATTCAGTGATGGGCCTTAGGCCACGGAGCTAGCTGGGATCTGAACTCAGACCTGTCTGTCTCCAAGTGTAAGATCATAACCACACTGCCAGAATGGGCAACATACCAGTCCCTAAAGACTTTTGGGGTTCTGAGGGATCCCGTCTCCCTGAGTCTTGGTGCTCTCAAAGAGTATGTTTGTAAAAGCAACAGCTTGATATTCCTACCACAGAACACCCCATGTAAATAGTTTGATATCCTGTTTAATTAAGGAGTATTTTAACGACCACTATTCTGGGCAAGCCATCAGTCACAGTTAATGGCCCTGCTTAGTTATTTATGCTGCATGTTTTCCTTCCCATCTCTTCTGTTTCTCTCTTTTCTTCCTCCTCCTGCCACTCCACCTCTACATCTAACTCACCAGAAAACTTGAAAGGGGCTGTGGCTGGGGAGTGATTCAGAGCTTCTCTAGTTGTCTCTGCGAGCAGATGTATAGATAGAGAATCCAGGGCATGGGCCAGGCAAACTCTCACTTGTTGCTAGGAGTGTGCCCAGCTCAATCTGCTCAGATCCTGGATGTTCCTGGGGCAAGAGTCCTACGGACTCTGTGGAGCTTTACAAATCTGATTTCAGATGTTTCATTGTTGGCACCAAGTGCATTACCTTGTACAGGCAGAAGATTAAAGACACAGAGGATAAACCATGACTACACATGGGGCAGCGGGGAAACTCTCTGCCAGCTTCCCTGTGGCTTCTGGATGCTCTCTATAATCTGCAAGCTGAACTAGGTCCCATGTGTCCTTGGTGGGCATAGGCTTCAGTTGAACATGTGTGCAACTGAGTGGGATTCAAGAGCTCTCAGATCACTTTTTAGGCTCCGTTTCTGAACCAACTGTGTGAACTTGGGCAAGTCTCTCAACTTCCTGTACTCTCTATCTTAACAAACAAACAAAAAAATAAACTAGATAGTCAGTGTCAGTGACTGTCCCAGTTCTTTTAAGTGAGTCCACCCAGGACTGGACTGTCATTGCTTCCTGAAAGCTCTTCACCCTCTCCTCAGTAGCTGCTGTCAGGCCAGGTCGGGGTCTTTAACGATGCCTTGGGCTGGCTGCTCTTTGGTTCCCCGGCACAATTCTGTTTCACGCTGGAGGGTTGGGAAGGGGAGGAAAACTATGTTATTCGTAGAAATGGTAGGCGTGAACTGGTCTTCATGTTTTAACAGTTCATTGGCTTAATTCTAATGTCAACCTTTCCAGGGAGGAATGTTTATTTGTAGTTGTTACAGGTGATTTCAAGTAGCAAGACTTGTCAACAGTAATGGAGAGAAGGGTAGGAAATATTAAGCAGGGAGGCAGAACTTCAGTTGGTATGGTAGATGCTTTACTTACACACAGTCTCACACACATGCTGCTGTCTGCGATGAAGAATGGTCACTGGGATGCAGGAGAGGGAAGGAAGCATAAATGTTTTGTGTCCTATGTTTTGAATAATGCTACAGTTTGCTCTTCATTCTTCTGCCCTTTTCTTTTTGTTCCTCAAGGGAGTGGTTTATTAATTTTTCTATTTGCTGGGCAACCTTGCTTGACTTCACGTCCAGTGTTTGGTATGTGGGGAACAGGAGGATCTGCTTGGGTGTTGGTATGCAGAAATCAACCAGAATATTTTAACCAATATTCTTGCAGGACGCTGGTTTGCCTGGCTCTTTGGAGCCCTATCTGATTCCAGGGTGATGTCTCTCCGGACAGATGGGAAGCTGACCTTTCTGTTACATGCACAGTGCAAAGGGAGCTCGGCTCCTCAGCTTGCATGGGTGGTTTTGGGTGAAGGTAGAACTAAGTGCTCGGCAGCTGAGCACCTTTGGGGCCTTGCATGAACCTGACGGTCATGCAAGGGCACAGTGCATTGTGTGTGCGTGCTGCTAACGCTCTTCTTCCTTTCTCTCCCCTTCTCTCTCCTCCCCCTTTTCCTTTTCCTTGAAAATGCTGCCACAGATGTCAGTCAAGGTCCAGGTGAGTCTTTGTATTTGCACAGCTGCTGTGGGAACTTTCCCCTCTGCTAGATTGTGCATGGTTTGACTCTGATCCCCCGTTTTTTTTTTTTTTTTTTTTTTTTTTT